TATTACAACATGGTTTTAATGATATCCATATGAGACACAAAAATACTGATATTGGTAAAAAGGAGAAGAGTTTGGGTGTTGTTTTACTGGTCTGCTTGAGTGAATACATTGGGAAGAGGGGAGAAATGGGCAAATATTTATAGCTTCTTTTTCTGTATCCCATAAGGTCATTTTGAATTGGTAAGAGGTTATATTCTCATTTTAAGAGTTTTTTTTTTTTTCTCTCTCTCTCTCTCTCAAAGCTATGAAGGAGGAGATTTTGAAAAAGCTGCTGAATTATACAAAAGGGCAATGGAAATAAAAGAAGCAGAAACATCACTCTTGGGTGGAAAAGCTCCTTCACACCATTCATCAAGTGGAGACACGTTTAGCTTAAAAACAGCTCATTCTCCTAATGTTTTCCTTCAGCAAGGACAAAGGTAATAGCAGCAGTTAGAATTCTTTGCAAATGTACCTTAAGACAAAATAATTAAACATTTGGAACATTTGAATTCGAAACTTTAAAAAAATGTTTTAAGAAATTTTACTCTTACTATGTGTGATTTAACTGCTATTTGTATGAAGTTGTATTGGACTGCATTAAGTTGGAATTGTGATTGTGTCTGTTTTAATTGTTTAAAAGAATTTTCCTATTATCTGGTATCCAAGGATGTAGACACATTAGAATTGTAAGATGACATGAGGAGCAAATCATGAAAAGTGGGTTGGTCTTTGTTCAACAAAAGCTGGCACAGCAGTTAAGACAAGGAGTTCAAGAATTCCATGAATCTTGGCCAGGCACGGTGGCTCATGCCTGTAATCCCAGCACTTTGGGAGGCTGAGGCAGGAGCAGCACTGGAGGCCAGGAGTTCGAGACCAGCCTGGCCAACATGGTAAAACACAGTCTCCACTAAAAATACAAAAAAATTTAGCCAGACAGGGTGGTGTATGCCTGTAATCCTAGCTGCTCGGGAGGCTGAGGCATGAGAATCACTTGAACCCAGGAAGTGGAGGTTGCTATGAGCCGAGATTGCACCAATACATTCCATCCTGGCCAACAGGGTGAGACTGTCTCAAAAAAAAAAAATTAAAAAAAAATAAATAAAATAAGAATTCCATGTTTCTTTTCAGCTCTCAAGAGCTACTTTAGCCTCACCATTCCTCTTGCTTTTCAGCAGTAGTCTGGCCCAATTCTCTACCTCAAAGGAAAGTTTCAAGGATTAAAAGGATAATGTTTATGAAAGATTCAAATTGTCTTCAGTGAAACACATTAGTCACAAGAATCCCTATTGCTGCATTTTAAAAAATTCTTTACCCTTTCCTTGAGCAGACTGGTCCAGTCCCTCTGCTTTTTGCTCTGTCTACATTGTGTATTATTTATTACTATATAGTATATGTATCTGCATAATGTCTGAAGTCATTAATGCAGTAACAGGTCAAGCTCTTTAGCATTCTTTGTCTTTTCCCAAAATAGAGATATGATATTCTCCTTTATCTTCCTCCTTAGATGGCCTAAATCTGTCTCTTCATTTACCTCAAACTCAAATTAGTATGCCATTTTTATACTGAAAATTATTTTTATGAATTTTATAAATATTGCAACATTTTAGATATTGTTTTGGACCATTTGTGTATTTCTATATAATAAAATCATCAATTTAATACTTGTAAGATCCTAACATGTATTAATTGTAAAAGTGAAATATGTAATAGCCACACTTCACTGTTTTAAAATAAAAGTGCAATTTTAAGTTCTTTTTTCTCCACTCTAGTTTATACAAGAGGGCTGTTCTGCATAATTTTTAAAGAAATATGTTGAACATTTTTTTAGAACTTGAAATGGACCGGGTGTGGTGTCTCATGCCTGTACACCTAGCACTTTGAGAGGCCAAGATGGGCGGATCATAAGGTCAGGAGATCGAGACCATCCTGGCTAACACGGCGAAACCCTGTCTCTACTGAAAATATAAAAGACTAGCTGGGTGTGGTGGCACATGCCTGTAGTCCCAGCTACTTGGGAGGCTGAGGCAGGAGAATCGCTTGAACCCGGGAGGTGGAGGTTGCAGTGAGCTGAGATTGCACCACTGCACTTCAGCCTGAGCGACAGAGTGAGGCTCCGTCTCAAAACAAAACAAAACAAAACAAAAACCTTGAAATGTTATCAATACTTGCTGCTCAGTAGTTTGCTCAGCTTAAGGTTTTGGTTAATGTTCTCTTAAGGCCGAGTTACTACTCACAGGGTGGTCCACAAATCATTATCACCACCACCTGGCAGCTTACTAAAAATTCAGACTCTCAGGCCTCTCCCCAAACCTACTGAATAAATCTGTATTTTAGCTATAGCCCAAGGTGACTAATGTGCACATAAGTGTGAGAAGCAGTGGTATAACTGTACAGCACTATAGTGGTAACTTTTTATTTATTTATTTACTTCTTTATTTTTATTTTTTTGAGATGGAGTGTTATTCTCCGCTCTGCTACAGGCCTGGAGCTTGGCAGTGGCCGAGATCTCAGGCTCACTGAGCCATCCGGTTACGCCACTTCGTCCTTGCCTTCAGCCGTCCCAAGGTAGCTGGGGGATACAGGCAGCTCCGCCAACTCAGGCCCGGCTAGTTTTTTGTAATTTCTTAAGTAGCGACGTGTGGTTCACCGTGATTAGCCGAGGATGGTCATCCGATTCCTGGACCATCGTGGATCCACCCTGTATCGGCCTCCAAAGTTGCTGGGATTACAGGCATTTGGAGCCCAACTGCCCCAGACCATATAGTTGGTAATTTAAAAAGAAATGATAGGCATATATACATGATGCATCCTTCAGTCCTCCTTTGGGAGATAGTCCAAGAGGGAAAGAATATAAGATAAAACTATAGCCATTAAATTACCTTTCTGGGTTTTGGCAGCTGTAGAAAGCACACAAGAGTAATTTGAAAACACCAATATACCAGGACAATGATGTTTGAATTGTTGATAGGGGTACAAAAATCTTAATACATAAGCAAGTAATGGTGTTCAGTTATATCACCTTAGGACAAAGTAACTGGCTTTAGCGAAGATAACTCTGAGACTACGTACTCTAGAGAACCCTTGACAAAGGAAATAACTACCTAAGAAGTATTATTCTTTGTAGCCTCCAAAAGGTTGTGCCTGTGAGTCAACTAATGAGTTGGGGGACATGATCACTCAAATTGATGGATTCTAAAGAATGAAACTAAACATAATAAAACTATGTTTTGGATATTTCGCTACTTGATTTTACTACCAACCCCAAAGCGGTTCTCATGTAGAATGGCATACTTAAAAAGATACAAGAATAGCTGGAACACTCTTTGTGTATGCATATTTGAAGTTCTCAAATAGGAATATTTATTCGAAGGCCTTCAATGAAAATGTAGCTTTCAGCAACCTCAATTATAGAATCTGAAATTGGATAGCAGTACTTATTTATTCTATTTTAATTTCATTCATGTAATAGCTTTTTTTTAGTTTTTGCGGAGGACAGAGTCTGCCTGTTTTCCAGACTGGAGTACGCAGTGACGCTCTTTGGCTCCATGCAAATATCTGCTCCCGAGTTCAAGCCGATTCTCCATCTCGCCTTAAGTAGCTGGAGTTTACCAGTCACGCACCATGAAACGCTCGGCTAATTTTGTAGTTTTTAGTAGGAGACGGTGATTTCGCCATTTGGCGAGGTGTTCTCATGAACTCCGTGACTTTTGATCTACTGGCCGCTTAAGCCTCCCCGGAAGTGCTGAGATTACAGAAAGAGAAATAAGGAAAAATGTGTGGCAGGGGTCAAGGAGTTCCTTTAATAAATATTCTTGTGCTGGGCCGGAATGGGTGGTCACTCCTGTGCAATCCCAGCTTACTTGGGGAGGCCAGAGACGGGTGGATCACCTGAAGGTCAGGAGTTCGAGACTAGCTGGCAAACATGGTGAAACAGCGCCTCTACGTAAAGAATACAAAAATGTTAGCCGGGCGGATCGGTGGCGGGACCCTGTAATCCCAGCTACTTGGGAGGCCTGAGGCAGGAGAATCGCGTTGAACCCAGGAGGCGGGAGGTTGTGGTGAGTCGAGATGCGCCACTGCACTCCAGCCTAGGCAACAGAGTGAGACTCTGCCTCAAAAAAAACAAAATAAATATTCTTAACTGGCTATTAGGTTTTTTGTGTTGTTCAGTGTACGTATCCAGGGAGTATTTTTATGAGAAGAAACTAGTAATAATTATTTTCTCTACAACATTTAAGTAGAACCATAACTAACTTCCCATTAACAATGAGACAGGAATTAAAGTTGAGTATGTTGTTTTACTATCATCTAGAGTCTCTGTGGTAAGCAAATTTTGGGACTGCTTTTCCATCTTTCACATTAGAATCATTTAAATTTGATTCTCAGATTTGTAGTGTTACAAATCTGGACAAATGCTATGAGTTTAGTAATACTAAATTCAATGATAATTAATTTTTTGTAATCTGCTGCCTTATGCAAGTTTTCATGGCCTGCAGACTGTCAAGAGTATTCTAGGATAGCAACATATCTATTACCAGATTATTTTTTTTCTGGTAAAATAATCCAGTCATTTTTAATGAAAGATATTAGACAAAAAAAGTTAGATCAATTAGGTAAGATTTGGTGCAGTGTAAGACACGGGCAGTGATGCAATGCCAACTTGAGAGCAGATAAAAGAAGACAGTGAGTTCTAGATATGATACTTTATCAAATTGTAAAATTTTATAAAACCTTACTAAATTGATATGCAAGAATTTCCACAGGAAATTTACTTTTGAAAAACTGCATTTCATTTTTTAAATTCAAAACATCTCTCATACTAGAAATGCTGTTTTACAGTTGCATAAGCTAAATTTTTAAAAAATGATAAAAGACTCACCAAGGCAACATAAGTAAGTCTCAAGGCTAAAAAAACCTATCCTCCTGCTTTCCTGACTTTACTATAAACATAAGAATCACAGTATAATCCTAGCATCTCAAAACTAGTGTATTGAACACATTTGGTATTTGAGACTTTCTGAAATCAGTTTTTTGAACTTTATTTTACAAATCAGGGATGCACTTTTAATTTTTTACAACATTTTCTCCCTAGAGATATAATTTAGATATTCCTATCTTCAACGTAAAAGTCAAAATAGGAAATAAGCATAGAAACAGCCTACTGGCAGTGGTTACACCTGCATGGTATTTATGAGTCTCCAAATTATTGGAAATTTATTTCAACCAAGGTTATCTTAAGTCTTCATTACTTGGATGTAACTCCAGAGAAAACTAATTTATATCAATCAATTTACAGTTTAGTGGTCATGATCAGGGAAAGTGATACTCTACCACTGACTACAGTCATTGGAGAGGCAGTTTAGAACTTTTCCTTTATGCCTAATATACAGGACAAACCTTGCTGACATCTCGTTACCTCAAGAATCAAATTTAAATGAAGTATCCAGGAGTGGCCTAAAGAATGAGTGTAATCTGGGTGGATTTTAGTCTAAATTTATGCCTTGCTCTTCAGTAAAGTATAGTAACTCCAGATATATGCTCCACAGATGCAATAATTTCTATTCCTGGGTCGGTGCAGAATATAATGTATACTTCCTGAAATCAACTTTGTCTATTCATAAAGATAGCTGCTTTTTATTTGCCTTTGTCTCACTTTGAATATATATAATCCACAGGTTACAGACTTTTCCAATAACTACATTTCAACTTGTATTTCATCAGCAAACATTTGAGAGGATGTTATTTCATAGATTAGCTATTTTGAATTCATTGTTGATCAAGTGGGAAATTTTCTTATAGAAAGCAATTCCAAACATAATGAGCAGATGCTTGCCAGCTCTAATCAATAAGCTGTATGCCTTGTCCTTCTCCCTGTATCTGAGAATCATGTACTGCTTTATTGTCCATGTCCTCATGCAACAGACACAAGGTATTACTGGAAAGAAAAAGATTACAGGATCAGATTTGTCCTTTCCCCACTCCAAAAGGCCAAAACATTTCAACAGCTGTGTTTTCAAGTAAGATTTATATCCTACAATATCCTTTGAGGTTTTCTTACTAGAATGAAACATACATTTTAGGAGAGTCAATGATTTCACTGGAGCGGGGAGAAATAGGCAAGTCACAGGATTTTCAAAAAGTTAACAATTCAGGTAAGAATATATATTAATAAATGTTGCCCTAAGTTTTATCAGTTAAAATTTTTTTTTTTTTAATTTCAAGGGAAGAGGCTTTAACATGAGAAATAAAATATATCCCAGTCCATTATCTACATATTCTTCATCTTGGCCATGAGGTCTTCCAAGCTTTCACCAGAATCTTCCACTGTTACCTCAGTGACAGAATCTTCTTGCTATTGACAAATAAGGGAAATACAGTGAAAAAAGAACCATATAGAATTCTTGATGCTTAGGAATATATAATCAGAAAGTTTTGACCATGCTCAACAGGGTTATAAAGTAAATTTTCTTTAACAACTGTCTTCTAATTTTTAGAAGACAGACAAAGTCTTTTACATTCCCTACCAGTCTTTTGATTTACAAGGCAGTAATTTCAATATTCTTGACAGCTCTAGTTTTTTTAAATGACATTGTAGCTAAAACTACCAATAAACAAAAATGAGATCTTCATTTAATCAAAATCTATTATACTTGGTTCATTAATGAGTGAACAAAATCATTTTATTCTGTTTTAAAAGTCTAAAATAAGCTGTAAGTATTTGCATATTAACACTGAATACCTCTGTCTCACATCTTAATGCCTATAGCATAAAATATCTTAAAACAGGAAATACTTCACTGGCATTACAAATTAGAATGAAGATGAAGAAAAATATTTTATATGATATTTACATATGGGTAAATCGTATTTTTGAAGTACCTTTTTTGGAATTGTGTATGCCACTGTAATTCCTTCAGGTAAGTCTGGAACTGGACCTGAAGAATTTTTCAATTCCTCTTCTGAAACCTCAGATACCAGCTCAATACCTGTAAATTTAATCCTGTATCAGTTTTTAAGGAATTTAATAAGCAATAATTATTCAATTGCTATAATCTTATTAGATTGGCTACCATAAAAGGTTTTGTTTTATGCTGCCATTTCAATTTATAAAAGAACACCTACCCCATTCATTATCTTCATGGATTATCTCTTCCTCTTCTTGCATAACCTCTTGTTTAGGCAGTGCTGCTACCTTTTTCTGTAGAAATCAAACAGCATCAAAGTGTTCTTACTCATTCTCAGTTCTCTAAAGCATTAATCAAGAATTTTCCTTTATGACTAATATATAGGACATTACAAGCCTTAATCAAGAATTCAGACAGGCTTTTTATCTTACCAAAAGCAAGAAAGAACATTCATTTTTGAAGTATGGTGAATAAATTAACCATTTATCTTGTATTCCAAATCTGTTTAAGTTATTTATTGTCCTATGCAATATGATCCCTCATGCATTCTAACAGAGTGCCATATACCTTATACTCTTCCTGCTGCTTCCTGCAATTTCTGTCATCACACTGGGGATTTGGCTTCATGGACATAGTAGGAAAAAAATCCTGCATTGCATTGTATCCAAGGTAAAAACTAACAGTACCAAAATTTAACAGAAACCTAGAAAAATCAAAGTAGACTTAAATAAAGAAATTAAAACCATGAAAAATACTAGAACAGTTAAATTTTTTAAAAATAACTTTGAAATAGGTAAATGATACACTTTTTAAATCAGAAAACAGAAATCTGCATCCAGAAAACAGCAATTTTCTCTTATTTACAGTGCCTGGCTCATAGTAGATGCTTCAGTGTTTATTGAATGAAGGAAAGAAAAGATTACTCCATTTCATCAACTGTAGAACACACTATTTTTTTGAACCTCTAATAAAGATTAAATGCTGGCAGCTAAACTATTACATGTCAATAACTTCAAGAAGCATGCTGATTTCAGAGAAGCTAAAATGTGGGAGAAGTGTATTTTTTAAATCCCTGAGATATGGTATTAAAGCTACTTAATTTTTTTTTAACATTTTGTATGTAATTTACTATAAAATGCACAATCTTAAATGTATAGCTCAGTAAAATTTTGTATGAGTCTTTCAGGGAACCATCACCAGATCAAGATATAGAACATTTTCAGCATCCCATGTGCCTCCAGCTCCCTCCTGTCCTCTTCCCCGTCAAATCTGATACTTTTTACTCTGCTGCCCATACTGGAGTACAGTGGTGAGATCATGGCTTACTGTAGCCTCACCCTCCCAGGCTCAAGCAATCCCATCTCAGTCTCCCAAGTAGCTGTGATTACAGGCAAGCACCACCATGCTTGGCTAATTTTTGTATTTTTTTTTGTAAAGATGGGGCTTTGCCATGTTGCCCCAGGCTGGTCTCGAATTCCTGGGCTCAAGCGATCTGCCTGCCTTGGCCTCACAAATTGTTGGGATTACAGGCGTGAGCCACTGCACCCAGCCAATCTGATGTCTTTTATTAGGTTGGCGCAAAAGTAATTGCAGTTTTTGTTAAACGTAATGACAAAATCTGCAATTACCTTTGCACTAACCTAATAAAAGTTTTTATACAGAAAAAATCACATAAAAAAGATAAATGACAAAAGAAAAATATTTGCAAATACACATTCTTAATATACAACAAGACAAAAAAGAGCAACAACTATTAGCAGACAATTCACAGATGAAGTGTTCAACTTTTTTCACAAATAAAAATAAAAATTAAATGCCTATTTTTTACCCACCAGAATGACAAAGGTTACAGAGTTTGATGATACCCAAAGTTATCAAAGGTATGAGTCAACCAGGTACTCCTAAACTATGATACAAATGTATAATCTAAACTATAATACAAATGTATAATCCTTTTGCAGGAGAAATTTAGTAAATATTTCATAAATTCAGAAATTCTACTTTAAAAAATGTGTACTATAGGCCGGGTGCAGTGGCTCATGCCTATAATTCCTAACACTTTGGGAGGCCGATATGGGCAGACTGCTTCAGCCCAAGAGTTCAAGACCAGCCTGGGGAACATAAGGAGACTCTGTTTCTACAAAAAATACATAAAAATTAGCTGGGCGTGGTGGTGGGTGCTTGTAGTCACAGCTACCTGGGAGGCTGAGGTAGGAGGATCACTTGAACCTGGAAGGTGGAGACTGCAATTAGCTGAGATTGTGCCTCTGCGCTCCAGCCTGGGTGACAGAGTGAAACCCTCTTTTTTTTTTTAAAAAAAAAATGTACTATAGAAAACTCTAGGCTGGGCACGGTGGCCTGTAATCCCAACACTTTGGGAGGCTAAGGTGGGCAGATCACTTAAGCTCAGGAGTTCAAGACCAGCCTGAGCAACGTGATGAAACTTTGTCTCTACAAAAAATACAAAAATTAGCCTGGCATTGTGGCATACACCTGTACTTCCAACTACTTGGAAGGCTGAGGTGGGAGGATCACTTGAGCTCGGGAGGTTGAGGCTGCAGTGAGCCATGATTGTGCCACTGCACTCCAGCTTGGGCAACACAGTGAGACCCTGTCTCCAAAAAAAAGAAAAAGAAGAGAGATCAATCTAGTATTCAGAGATATATACAAGATGTAGCCTGTAGCATTGTTAATAAAAAAAAAAAAAAGAATTAAGTAGCCTAAATGACCATCAACAGAGGGGCTAGCTAAATAGGACACATCCTTAAGAGAATACTTGGTTAGCCATGATTCTTTGCTTCTTTTTTGTATCATACTATGAAATGTATGATAGATATTAGACAGGGCCTAATACTGTCTAAACAGGCTATTTGCTCATATGAAATAGCCCTAGACCATTACTTTGAGAGTTTATATGTATGCTTTTTTCAGCTTCTTTGCTAGCAACTGACACTTCTTATTGATTGGTGCCTCCATGTGTCTTGTTGCAGTTTGTTCTTACTATATTGGAGGCTTAGGGTATACAACTAAGCTTATTAAAGTTGTGAAATGAGGGAAAATAAATGGCCTGAATTAGAGAACACCTAAAGGGGATCTGCTTTTAATGAAGTATGAGTTGATTCATAAACTCTGACATAAATTTTAGCAGCAAAGAAATCTTTTCCCTTCTTTTTAGCTATAGTTTAGATAGTACAGTTGCTGGATGTTTGTTTTTGGATAGCAGAGGTATCCAAAAGCAGATTTTAAGAATCTGGTTTTTTTTTTTAAGTATTGTTAATGCGTTTTATATTAACACTAATATAAATGTTAACATTTTATGTATATGTAAGTGTAAAATTTACAGTAACAATGTTTAATTACATTAACATTAATAATTACTGTTTAGTCACATTTGGGTTATTTTTGGTAAGACTTAAATCAAGATAGTAGAAACAAGTGTGTTTAAGTCTCCGTCCACTGGTCAGACTTGGAAAGATTTAAATCATTTGGTTAATGCTTCATAAATAAATTTGTCACTACCATTGTATCATTTCATAAAAGCTATTCCAAATGCAGGGAGTAACTGACATTCTATATATTCATGTATGAATATTAATATATGTAATATTTAATATAGCAATATATATGAAAAGTAGACATACATATATAAAATAGAATGTACACGTACGCATATATAAAACATTTAAAACTACATTTAAAAGTAACTATATACTTAGCTTATAATTTTAATTTCTGAAATGCTTTGTGAAATATATTTATTTTTATTGAAAGCATATAAGACTATTCAGAAAAATTAGCCCTGACTTACTTTAACACGTTTTGTACTAAGATCCCAGCAACCACACCCATAGTGGTAGGAAGACTGGCTGCACAAACACCTTCTCGTTTCAGAGTCTTTTCATCAATATTTGCAGCAACTACAAGTGGTGGAGCACACTACATGAAAAAGAATAAAAGAAAACACATTTCAAAAAAAAAAGAGGAAAAGTATGAGATGTTCCAAATAGTATTCCATCCAAGTTTGTGTTTTCTTTGAATTGTAATACATTTTCAATGCCCCTAAGAACTCAAGTACCTAACAGTGAAGAATAATCCAAAAAGAGTAATGCATACCGCAAAACAAGCAGATTCTCCAGGAATTATGAGCTGAATATGCCCTGAAACTGCATTTTCACTGACCCCAGATTCCATCCATGTTTGTCCAAGTTCATTACAAGCCTTAGTAGAAATGGGTGAAAACACAAGGAAAAAAAATAAAAGAGCAAGAAGTAATTTACAATACATTCTTTGAACTGAATGGATTACCAAGGTCTTTTAAAATTAATTTTCAGAACAAATGAGGTAAGTTGTAAGATAATGGAATTCCTTGGTAATTACCATACTCTATTTAAAGAGTAAAGTGACAGTATTCAAGATGCAATCAGTAAATATTATTAAATTGAATCAAAGTTTATTGGATTTCTTGTCAAATTGATGTGAAATTTCACTTTTCTAAAATAATTTCAAGAACAAAAAAGGCAAAATATCATCTGAAAAGTTAAAAACAATATTCAAAAGGAAAATAATAATTTTTATTTTTGAGAAACCAGGTTTTTAGGCAATTTATACATATTTATACATTTATAAAGTAACAAAAGCTAAAACTAACGCTGACCAATAATTATTATAAGATACCAATTTAAGAATTATACATCAGAGGTATTTGCTGTTTCACAGTTTACCAGCAAAAAGAGTAGGATACTGTAACACATGTTACAGCAGCAAGGTTAGACAGGTATCACAGCTATTAGAATAGATTTTAAGAGTAGGCTAAGAGAACATTACAAATAAAACACAGAAAAGGGTTTACATTCAGAACTGTTTTTAGGATGGGGATTATATACAGGAAAACAGCTAAATCCATGAATATATCTTGCACAGCAGGAATACTCACTGTATTTATTGTCATTCGAGCTTCAAAATTGTCCACACAGCTAAGAACTAGATCAACAGGTTTTCCTTCTTCTAACCCACCATTACTAGTCAAAGAAAATAAGTTTGAAAAACATCAGGACACAAAATACACTCTAATACATTATACTTACTTGTTCAGTCCAACATTTATACTTTCATTAAATGTTTGACTATAATTATCACACAACTGTGTAATATTAAAGATACATATATATATCAAGTATTGAGTAACATACAAATATAACATCAATGGTACTGTAGTATTACTTATTTTACAAGAACTACAAGGGTGAAGGAAGTATAAAGTATGTTCACAACAGTTACTTTTTCACTACCGGCTTTCACATTTTTATTCATGCTTCATTACAAATGCAATAAAAGCTAATTGGATGCAATTCATTATTTCAGTGGTGGTCTGACAGTCTCTGAAGAAAACCATTTTCAGACAGAAATACAATCTAGAACACAGAACTTAAAACTGATACTCTCTTCTTATATTGTAACTTACAGGAGTTTTTTGCTTGTTTGCTTTTTAATTGTTTTTGGACAATATATACCTTTAAATGATATTCTAATACATAAAAATTACACAAAAATTACTGTTCTAAAAAAATGGAAAAATATATATCAATCTTCCATTCATTAGATTAATCCATAGATTTTTCTAATAATTTTCTAATACTTGAGCTGGACATTATACAAAATATTCATAAATTAAAATTTTACCTTATTCTATCCATGAAATGTTGAAAGTTTTCCACTGTGGTTATATTATAGTTGTGTACTTCAAAAAGAACATCAGGATTAATGTTCCTAAGAAGGAAAAAGGGAATGATTATAAGCCTGTAATCCTAGCATTTCAAGAGGCTGCGGTGGGAGGATTACTTGAGTCCAGGAGTTCAAGGCTACAGTGAGCTATCATCGCACCCACTCCACCCCAAACTGGGGGACACAGTGAGACCCTGTCTCTAAAAAAAAAAAAAAATGTTTTTAAAAAGACTACTACTAGTAGCTGTACTAAGAAAAAGCTGTGAGGAAAAGAATTGAAAGAGCTAAAGGGCATTTAACATACCTTAGAGAAGCGAATTCAAGCTATTCAAAGAAAACCCAAAGTTCTTTCTATCTCTTTTATCTCACACTTTAAGGACTAGGTTCATTTTTGTCATAAAGATTACAAAACTGTTCCCACCCCAATTAATCTAAGTGTTGGGAATTAAGACTTAACCATGTCCAGTAACTACCTATAGCTCAGCCTCACTTCCTTATTCTAGTTAAGAACAAATTTGGGGCCACAAAGAAAGTTCCTAAAGCAGGGATTGGTGAACTGTGGCCCATGGGCCACATCTGGCCCACCACCTGTTTTTGTGCAGCCTTCAGGCTAAGAATTTTTCTCCATTTTTAAATGGTTGGGAAAAGAATCAAAAGAACATTTTATGACATATAAAAATTGTATCAGCCAGGCACGGTGACTCATGCCTGCAATCCTAGCACTTTGGGAGGGCTAGGTGGGCAGATGGCTTGAGTCTCAAGAGTTCGAGACCAACCTGGGCAATATGGCAAAACCCCGTCTCTGCTAAAACTGCAAAACATTAGCCAGGCATGGTGACACGTGCCTGTAGTCCTAGCTACTCAGGAGGCTGAGATGCGAAGATAGCTTGAGCCTGGGAGGTGAAGGTGCAGTGAGCTGAGATTGTGTTGCTGCACTCCAATCTGGGTGACAGAGTGAGACTCTGTCTCAAAAATATTTGTTTTTTAATTTAAAAAATTAAAAATTGTATGAAATTCAAATTTTAGAGTGCAAAAATAGAATTTTATTGGAGCACAGACATACTTACTCATGTTTATGTTGCCTACAGCTGCTATCACACTACAACTAACAGTTGCAACAGAGAACATCTGGCCCTCAAAGACTAAAATATTTATTATATAACCCTATACATAAAAAGTTTGCCAACCCCATGTCCAACAGGTAAGAGAATTCTTTGTACAAGTGAAATCTGCATTTTATAGAGAAAAATTAAGATCCATTTATATTAACTCATATCAAATACATAAAGTAAGATTTCACTGAATATGTTTCTTGATTGCTATTCCATTTACCTCAGAGTATGTTCTGCTGCTTGAACTTTACTTAATCCTGCTTGATGAGGTTGGAAGAAAAGTCTATTCATATTGGCTAGTTCCACCTTGTCATAATCAAAGAGTAGCAACTAAAATGAAAACAGTGGTATTCTGATGAAAAACATACCAAAAAACTAAAAATATCAAAGAATAAATTAGAGAGCTTTACATTTAATTAGTTTAACAGTTTGATAATAATATTAGCTAACTTTACAACACTGGGTGCCATATATTAATTCATTGAATGCTCATGTGAGGCATGTAGGTACTAGTATCCTTATTGTAAAAATGAGGCAACTACAACACTTGTCCAAAGGCCACTCATCTAATATGAGGTGAAAATGGCATTCAAACTCAAGCATTCTCAATCCAGCATCTGCACCTCAACCACAATGCTTTGTTGCCTCTCTAAATAATTCACTCAAAAATTAATTCCCTTTCATTCTATGTTTTAAAACTGTGGCAAAATCCTACTTCATTTCCATTTTTTTGCTAAAAGTCAGAAATCTATTGGATAAATGAAATCTTTAAATAAGATAAAAACAAATGCTGTAACTTAAAATATAATATAACCTGACTCCTTTTGTGTATATGACAAAATATATACCAGTGACATGGCTAAAACATCATTCCAAATAGAATTACAAACCAGTTAATTGTTGTTTCCTGCTATATACTTAAGCCTGTTTCAAAAAGCATTTCTCACACACACACACACACACTAAAATGGCAATTAGATCACATTTCTTATCGATAAGAACAGGCTAGAGACAAGGACTTCCTAAGTCCCTTCTTGATATGAAATTCTGTGACTCTGTAATACAATTCTCAGCATACTAAACAATAAACACAAAAATGGGATTTTCTCAATAAAAAAAACTAAAAAGAAAAAAAATTAACCCAACCCATAACTCCTAGATAGCCCTTAATACCTTGCTAGAAAAGATCTCACTCTCCAAAATTTTCTAATCCTACTTAAGAGTCTCCAAAACATAGTTTATTTAAGTTCATCAATAAATATTTATTAGGTCAGGCTAAGTATTAAATGAGTTTCTGCCTCATAGCTTGTTTATACATAAGTTGCGGGAAACATTAAACTTGGGAACAGAAGGTCTGAGGTGTAACTCTGCCACTAATTAGTTCTGATTGTGGGTAAATCATTTTCACTTTTTAGGCCTGTATCTTCATCTCTAAAATAAAGCAGCGAGTATAGATCTGGTGATCCAAGGCATCCCAGATACTTTAAAGAGATCCCAGAGGCTTTCAGAGATAAGAAATGGACTCTGGATTTCCTAACATCTTCTACTTTCCTGTTTAACCTCATTAATTCGCTTCATATTTATCTGTTTTACAAATTAAAGAAAGACTTCCTGAAACTTACCTGTGTAGATTCTGTTTACAAACTTGAGGGCACACTGGAATCACTTGGAGAATTTTTAAAAATACAGATGTTTGTGCCTCATCCCCAGAGATTCTTATCTGGGGTGCAGTCTGGACACCAGAATTTTTAAAAACTTCCCAGGTGATTCTAACTACAACAATATATAAATACTGTTCTACCTCTTTGCTACTCAAAATGTGGCCTGGTCTAGCTAATGCAGCTAGCATCTAGCTAATGGAGCTAGCATTAGCATCACCTGAAGCTTGTTAGAGATGCAAGAGCACTTCTCCAACTTTAATATGCAAATGATCATTTGGGGATCGTGTGATTCATTTGCATATTAAAGTTGGAGAAGTGCTGATTCAGAAGTACAGATTCTGATTCAGTATGTCTGGGGTAGGTATTGAGAGCTGATACTGATGTTACTACTTCAGGGACCAAACTTAGAGTAGCAAGGATCCAGTGGTTCTCACTAGTGTAATCCTAGGAACATCATCATCAGGATCACCTGGGAGCTTGTTAGCAAGTCAATTATTAAGTACACCTGATACCTATAAAAATCAACACCACCAGAGTAGGATCTGTTAATCTGTGCTTTAATAAGGCTTCCAACTAATTGTGATAACATATTCAAACTTGAGAGCCGCTAATCTCAATAATCTCTATTATCCCTGGTCAATAGAGGTCAGTGATCTCTAATATCCCTGGTCAGGGTAATTAAGTCAGCTATAAGCAATTTTTATCCAGATTTTGTAAATCTTTTGAAAGATATTAAAATTTCAATGAACATTTTTAGTATTTTGGTGTTATTTCTATATTGATAAGTGAGTGCCAATTTTGAAATCACCTTCTTTTAAGAATTTGGGGTAGATCAACATATTAGAAAGCACTGGTAAACTGGGAGAATGCTTCCTTTACCAGAACAACAAATTAAAGGATACATAATTGTGGAAAGTTTATTTATTCAACCATTATGTATCTAACATCATAGACTTTGGCTTTATAAATCTAAGACTGGTAGACTGAATTCTGGTACAAGAAAGTTACTTCTTTCTACCCATAATCTAAATAAATTTTAGAAAAAAGTAAAAAAGTACCAATTTTTAAAAATTCATCCAGAGCATTCTCTAGTTCAAAATCAAGAGTAGGAAAGGTACATGTTTTCTATTCTGTCTGGTATGTTTAATAAAATAATTGTTAGATGTTTCAGTGTTTCACACACTATCAAATTAACAGCCTTCTTTCCTAAGCTTCTATATCTAAAACACTTAAGTCCAAATTGTTTACATATTACTTCAAACAAAAACGTTTCTAAACACAATTAGACAATCTTTGTCTAATTAGAAATAATATCACCTTTTATTTGGGTGGGGATATGTCTCAACCCAAATAGAACAATCTAGATTAATACACTGCAAGTCAATAAGCCATTAGTAAAGAAAAAAAATCCTAATTTGTACCTGATTTACTCCAGGAGTGAGTAGTTCCCTATACAAGAGGCAAAGAGAAATGTTTTTACCTTACCAATGCCACATCTTGTCAGCATTTCAGCAGTCACACTACCTACTCCACCAACACCTACTATTGCTACGGCAAAGGTACGGATTTTCTGTGAAATACAAAATAGTATGTGTTGGTTAATAGCTCTTCATCAAATATGTCACCAGAAGTTATTTTAATTCACTGAATTCATCTTACAAAAACTTGGAAAGGGTTTATCATACCTCATAGTCGCTTACAATTCCCATTCGTTTCAATGCCATCAAGCGGCTTAAAACAAAGAAAAATATGTTTTAAAGCTTACAGTCTTTTACGTAATAGTAATACAAATAGACATACATCACCACAGAAAATAAACACCAAAATATAATCATTACTAATCGTTTCAAAGAGGAGGATGCTTACAGGCTGGTTTTTACCAGATGAAACTAAATTGCCCAGGTACCTTAAAAACTCCCAAGTGTAGTCCATGAAACAAGATTGGTTTTTAAAAGCTATGTATTCTGATTTGCAGCCAAGATTGTGACTACTACTTAAATGTTAAGGGTCAAAGTTAAATTTCAACATTTTTCTATGCTTTGGTAGAATACGTAAATATTTAATGTTTTAACACTCAGATCTCCATCATCAGAGTAAATTCATGGCTGGAATTCCATTCTCGTTGCCTCTGCCCACAATGGATGATGTCTACTTTTAGTAAGCACCTACTGTATGCCAAAGACTCTAAGAGGTGCTTTAACTAGTTACTGGTAATCTGCAGTTTAAGTCTATAATTAATTCCCATTCATCTTCACTTTAAGGAGTCAAATAGTTCCACCAGGCTTGTCAGGAAATTCAGCCTCCACTCCCATTTTCCACTCGCTCACTTTTAACTCCGTTACCATCATATTCCTAAACAACATGCTAACATTGTATTTCTTTTCAGTTATAGTCAATTATCTGAATCAGATTTTGCTCTTAGCACTCATCCCTACTGCACACAGACATTTTCCATCCCACCAACCTCCCAATATTATTATATGGTCATCTTGGTTAGATGTTAACTCTTCACAACCGGGTCATGCAGTATATTAAAACTTACCCTTTCCTTTAACCCCCAACCCTGAAGTTAATAAGTGTGCTTCTCCTGATGCTTAATTTCCTATGTATTTTCACAAAATCAACTCCAACTTTTCACTAGTTGTCTAAAGTTCCTCTAGATACATTCATATTCATGAGGTATTCTATCAATTTCATCTTCTTAAAGATGTATCTCCTAGAATCTGACATGATGTCTCTAGACTTTCTGCACATACAGCTCCCTTCCTAGGCTCTTCCTTCATCATTATACTACAAAGTCTCTTAATCTCTTTATTCTGTATTAATCCACTGCTTCCTGTATGCTATAGCTCACTAGTTCTAAAGTGTCTATGGATCAGCAACAGGACCACCTGAGAATTTAATAGAAATGAAATTTCTTAGGCCCTACCCTATAATCACCCACTGAATCAGAAATCTTGAATGTGGAGTCTAACAATTTGCTCTAACAAGCCCTCCAGTAATTCTGATGCACATGACAGTTTAAAAGACTGTCATCAATTATTATTAAATTTACCCTCTTGCTGTGGTTAGAACGTCTTCCAGTAGTTTTGCAAAGGGTACAGCAGAGGTAAATTTTGAGAACTTTCATGTCTGAAAATGTTCCTTATCAAAATTATGTTCTTTATAAAAATGACAAAGCAAAGGGCATATAATTGTGGGAAGCTACACGTGTACTCTTAATCGATAGTTTAAATTGGTAAAGAAGTCTAAAGTTAGAATTGTCTTTCAACATTTTAAGGTATTGCTCCAGTGTCTCCTAGCTTGTAAAATTTCACAGTGTCCCTTAATGTGAATCTGTTCTCATCCCTTCTGCTGAGTTTTTAGTGAACCCTTTCAAAATGAAAACTCACATTTTCAGTTCTGGGAATTTTCCTTGAAGAATTTGGTTACTTCCTTGTTTGGTTTGTTTCCTGGACTGTCTGGAACTATTATTTGGAAGTTGGACTATTTGGATTTGTCCTTTATCTTCTTTCTCCAATTATCTACCATTTTAGTTTTCTGCTCTATTCTCTGGATGATTTCTTTTGACTTTATTTTCCAACACTTCTATTAAGATTTTCATTTCTATTACCATCTCCATTTGCAAGAATTCTTGATCATCTAACTACTTTGCACCTTGTTCCTGTATCATTTGTACCATATCTTCTCTCATCTCAGGATACTAATGATAATTTAGGGGGATATGTTTCTCTTACATAGTCTATCCAAGTTGCTATTTTTATTTCTTTCATGTTAGAAGTTTCTCTCATCCTTTGTTCTGTTCATATTTAAGAGTGGGACACTAATAAAGGTAACAATATAGGCAATACTGTTTGACTTCACTGGCCTATTTAGTTGAGAAACCCACAATGTCAGTGTCTTTCAGTCTTTCCTCTTGACTCTATCAGATTCCCTAGAGAATAATCTTTCAAACTCCAACCTGAGTTGGAGTTCCAACCCCGCAATCAGCTGTTGGAAGTGAAGAAGCAAGGCTGGGAGTCTCAGCATTCAGTATGTAAGCATTTACTTTACATTCAGTCACAACATTCAGCATGTAAACAATCAGTTTACCCCTTCTTTCAGGTACAAAGACCTGCCCCAATTATTCTTGGAAATCTTCTATTTTAGTCTTTCTAATGAAGAAATCTCTACTCTCCTCTTCTGGTAGGGAAGGAATGTTTGCCCAGTTATCCACAGTGGAGTAGGGGATCTGGGGCTTTGTTTCTTCAACAGATTTTCAACTGAAAGTTTTGGGTTTTTTTTAGCTCTCCCTGAAGTTCTCCAAGTACCTGTGTCTATTCCTGAGCCTTTGGGGATTCCTGCAATAAACTGGGTTGCAAGCTTAAGATTAATGAATCTATTAAATCAGTTACCTTCACCCATCCCTTCTCTAGTTTCCAAATTGTTACTATAATCAAGTACAGGGACGCACCCCTCCCCATAAGTTATTAATACGAACCCTTTATATTTTCAATGGGAGTTTTCTTTTAAAAAATTCCTTTACTGTCATTTTAGTGAAGTTGGTTAGAAAGTGATGCAGATCCATCACAGGAATTTGCTATCCTTACCTTGATGCTCCCTTCAATCTTTAAATAACCTGAAAAGCATGGATGGCAACCCCATTTTACCAATGAGGGAACCAGTTTGGGTTAATCAACTGTCCAAGATTAGCTAACTGGCAAACAGTATTCTGAGCTGGGTTTCTGGGTCAAGATTTGATACCAGGTTTTCTAATCTCAAAGCCTCTCCAGTTTTTCCACAAGCTTATAACTATATTCCATAACACATAATTTTACAGTTACTTATGTTGTTTAATATCCCACATCCATGTAGTCTCTCAAACTGAAGCAAAAGTCAGGGGCTTTATATTTCTTTTGTATCTCTTGAAGCAGTTAAAATGGTGTTGAACACATACATATCCCTTTCCTATAACCTTCTGTACTTCATCATAATTCAATAACCTGTACTTTATCAATAACACGGTACTTTATCATAATTCTTACCACCTGTACTGCAATGCACGTTTACTTTTCTATTTATCTCACACTCATCTGGTAAGCTCTACAGGAAAAAGACCATGTCTACTTTATATTCACAGTGTCTGCGCATAATAAGTACTCAGTACAAAGTAAATAATGTTGTCAAGGAGGACTGCAGATGAAAAGGCACTCAGTAAATATTTGCTGTATGAACAATTCAAAAAATTAAAGCTGACTTTTATTAAAATTCCATATACCAGTGAAGAGCTTTGGGTATCAAACTGCCATCTCCTGTATAGCAATTTTAATAAAGTCAATGGCGCAAATCAGATAGGAAATACTAAATATTTAGACTTGAGTTCTGAAAGTCTTGTTTGTCATCATTACAATGTCAAGGGATCATCTCATATTAAAATAATGTCTGAAAGACAACTTAAGTTCATGACCCATATTCCTCTGCTTTTCATTCTGGAGGGAAAATTTCGAAGTCTTCATTTGTAAAATTTTCAAATGTTTTAAAAATGTCAAATAGTTTCCACTTATTCTGATTAGAGATGTCAGTTCATGCTTATTTAATCTCTAAAAAGTTTGGACCATTAACCCTTCATATTTGGCAACACAGTTAAAACAGTGCACCTTAAGACTTCTACTGCGGCTTTATATATCACAAACTAAAACCTGTTTTAAAAATCAAAACTCTTATGCTCTTTAAAGGAAAAAAGCAACAATAAAATCTTCCTTATCTACTTTAACACTATACAATTTTTAGCTACACGACTTAATTGTTTTTACTGGGGAGACAGTTCATGAGAATTTTACATTAAGACAAATCTAATGCAAGACAGGCTGTACTATTTACTACCAAGGCATGAACCTGAGGTGGCTGTCTAAGCCTCAATTTTCTCACCTATATAACGGGGGTAAAATAGTAGCAATCCCATTGGGTTTTGGTGAGAGGAGACAATGCATGTAAAGTGCTTAGCACAGTGAAAGCTCAATAACTGCTTGCTACTAAATGCACCTAGCAATAAAATCTTGTATAAGGTTTACCATGTACAAGCGCTACTCTAAGACCTTTATACATACTGATTTTTTTCAATCCCCACAACTATGACAGAGATAGATATTACTGTTATCTTCATTGTATAGGTGAGAAGCTGAAGCGGAGAGTTTCACAACTTTCCTAAGGTTAGGCAGTTATTAAGAGAGTAGTTAGATTTGAATTGCAATCAGTCTGGCGGTAGAGTCCTTACCCTTAACCATTGCACTACATTCCATCTGCTGAATTGACAAGCTTTGTTAGGAAAGAAGAAAAGAGAGGCCTGGGCAGTCTTGGTAATGTCGAATGGTTTGAGATGTTAAGGAGCACCCGAATATCTCAGATTAGAGCTAATCCCGCTCTCCCCCGCCCCGCCCCCATTTAAAATGCATTGATAAGCCTTTATGAACCTCAAAGTTTACCTTAGCAGGTTTTACATCTTCTAAAAGTTCTTACTATCAGTCTTATACACAGCGAGGTGGACTAATTAAGAGGCAAGGGCGATAGGAAACTGGACATACGTCCTCAGCAGGCACAGGAGCAACACCATATGGCTGACTCACTGGAGGTTTATTAAAAAGAGAAAGAATATCTTCCGATCAGTACTAAGATGTGGCCTTGCCCATTTGGGAACAGGATTCCCAGACCAAGAAAAGGGTAGAGGGAGTCCGCATGAGCGGGACGTGGAAGGCTCCTCACTTCTGACCTCACGGAGCCTGACCTCGTCTCCCGCGCCTGCCTCCGACCGGCGACGCGGTTTACCTGTAGGGATTCGAATCCACCACCTCTGAGCTCATCTTCTCGATGCGGACCCGGCCGCCCCCTCCTTCGCCGCTCCCCGGGACCCGCCGATTTCTCTCCTGGGCAAGTTCCCGCTCCAGCTCCTGGACCCGCTGCTGCAGCCGCTCCACAGACTCGGCCATGGCTGGGACTCCGGCCGCCAACGCTCCCAGCCCGGGCCTTCGCCGCCGCCTTCGCCCCACGCTGCTCGGCTGGGCCCGCAAAGGGTACTTGGGGAGGCACCTAGCCGCTGCCTTCCTAGCCCAGAGACCTGGGGAAGTGCACCCAGCGCCTCACAGACAGACACGTCTCCTTCACTCCTTCCTCGGAGCCGCTTCCGGTGCGTCGCAGACATCGCTCCCCCTTAGCAAAAACCTGGCTCTTTCGGCTACCTTCCTCGCTGGGTAGGCTAAACCCGGCCGCAGCAGGACCGGTGTGATAAGTGTCCAGGGCAGGAGGCCTGCGACGCTGCCTTTCTAACCGGGTGTCTAGGAGAAACAGGGTCTTTTTATTCTTGGGCTCGAGATCCTGACGGGCTTTTTTCTGAACCGGACCCTGCAGGTCTTCCGCCTGCTGATGCATTAAATTTGGGGATGGAAGAGGCTTCTGCCTTGTTCCTTTCGCGCAACGATGACCGTGGCTTTGCTTTCTTTAACATTGAGGCCTCCAACTCTGACGCTGACTGGAGAACTGAAATCCGAACACATATTGGGCTCTTCTGGCACTTGGCTAGAGCTAAAACCTCCAGCTACAGCGGGCAAGCGTTGCTCAGCAACGGCGCGTAGGGTGTATGTGGTTGGCTGGAACTAGACCCCGCCCCGGCCTCGGCCTGTGCTCTGGGGGCGTTGCCCAATCCTGAAGGACTTCTGCGCTCCAGACCTGTGGATTCCGCTTTGCTGTGGCCTGCGGGGGCGATCATGAAGCTAGGTGCTACTGGCGAGCCCAATGTGGACGAAATGCTGCCCCAGCACAAGTTCGACAGCAAGTCCCTGGAGGCTTACCTAAACCAGCACTTGCCTGGCTTTGGGGCCGAACGTGAGGCTACGCTGACCATTGCCCAGTACAGGTATCGACGCCAGCCTTTGCCTCCAGCGGAAACAAATTTGTGCATTGCCTTTTCCTTCCTTTGGCCCTGGGTGGTTTCCAAAGTTTCTCCCACCCCGACTGCTTTTCCTGCAGTTGGTGGACGCTCCCTGCAGGCATGAGCTGCTATTGCCGGCCTCCCGAATTCAATGCTGGGGTCTTCCCAATTGGAGGGCGGTAATGGAAGCGCAATAACGTTCACCATTCCACTATCCAAAGGAATCGTTGTTAAAGGATGGATTTATGTCCCTCGAGGATTCACCAAGGCAATTAAGGCTAGAAATTCTGAGAAATAGATGCCTTCTTTTGTAATACAACCATTAGATCTTTTTCTGAGAAGCTGGTGTAATTCCGTTTGATTGGCGGTATTCCGGGAGGCTGAGTTAATGACACCAGATGGAGGATCCGAATTCGAGTACTAGCTTTTCCACTTAGGAGGTCACAGCACCACTTTGGGCCTCAGGTTTTTTGAAGTGAGGTAATGCAACTGGGTGAGAGGATCCTGAGAATACCGTTCCCTACCGGGAATCTGGCTTTAGTCTGATGTTTTACAATAGATGATACATTCTTAAAACTTTATTCTAAAAATAACATTGTTACTAATACAGGGCTATAGAAAGAGTCCTATCATTCAGAAAACTGGATCTGTCACTTGCTGTCTGGGAGTTTAAATATGTTACATAAACACTCCTGAGAACCGGTTTCCTAAGTTGTAATACCTATTTTAATTAGTCTTATTAATGAAATGAAGTACCGTAATATAGGTGAAAGGTCGTAAAAATTGCAACAACACAGTATGCTAGTGGTATTTTATCACTGGCATTTATATTCTTTGACTACTGATTTTGGTGAAAATGAAAATAGTAATAAATGAGATTGATCAGGGAACATTTTAGGGTGTAGAATCAAAAGGTCCCATGTCCTAGTAGATATTGGAGGATGAAGGTAAAGGTGGAATAAAGAATAGCTGAGATTTCTGGGCCAGAAGCCTCGTGTTGTAACAAACTAAAACAGATCAAAGTTCAAATTTCAACTATTTCAATTCCTGTGGAGTTTGGACAAGTTGCCCTTTGAGCATCTAGTCCTGCTTTGGCAAACAGGAGATAGTAACGTCCATATTGTAGGGGTGTTGAAGAGGTACATAACTGAAAGAGACTTAATTCTGAACCAAGCTGAATGTTAAACCATAATCGTGTTTAAAAAACGAAATTAGTTTGGTATAAAAATTGCTTTCAGAAATGTTGTATAAGCTTGGTTTGACAAATATATACAGAACTCTGGATCCCACAGAGAACACGCATTCATTTCTAGGACACGTGAAAAAGTTTATAAAAATTGAAAACACATAGGCCATGAAGGAAGTCTCAAAAATTCAAAATAATCAATCTTTATATTTTGAAAATATGTGTTTTGGCCAGGTGCAGTGGCTCACACCTGTAATCCTAGCACTTTGGGAGGTGGAGGCACGTGAATCACTTGCGGTCAGGAGTACAAGACCAGCCTGGCCAACATGGTGAAACCCCCATCTCTACTAAAGATACAAAAATTAGCCAGACGTGGTGGCATGTGCCTGTAGTCCCAGCTACTTGGGAGGCTGAGAGAGGAGAATCGCTTGAACCAGGAGAGGGAGGTTGCAGTGAGCTGAGATTGCACCACCACATTCCAGCCTGGGTGGCACAGTGAGACTCAAAAAAAAAAAAAAAAAGAAAGAAAATGTGTTTTTTTAAATGCCAAAAGTTTAACAAAAGACAGCTAACAAATACATGTTTATAAATTAATTGATTCACGGATTAAAGACCCAATAATCTACACAGACAGTAGAAAATGGTCAAAGTTCAGTGTACAGAAATCAACTACATTTCTCTACTTTAGCAACAGTTAAAATGTAATTTTCAAAAACTTATAAGAGCATCAAAAATATAAATTACCTAAATAAGAGATGTGCAATACCTTTGTAGAGAAATGATAAAACTTTTATTAGGACCTTAAAAAGAATTTTAAAAAATGAGAGATGTCATGTTGTTGAATAGGAATATACAGTATTGCAAACTTTTTTCTTCCAATCAATCTATTGATTCAAAACAATGACAATCAAAATCCTAATTTTTTTCTCTAATTTGAAAAAGTGCTCCTAAATTTTATATGTAAGAGCGAAGGGCTAAGGATAGAAGAAACATTTTTAAAGAACCACAAGTTGGGAAATTTGAATTAAGATGATATGATATTAGCACAGAGATAGACAAACCAATGAAATAGAATAGAGAGTTGACAGAAAGACCCACATATTTATAGAAGTTTGATATGTGACGGTGTTGGCACTGAGAGTCAGTGGGGGGGAAAGAAGAACTTTTGAAGAAGTTATACTGGAATAATTGTTATCTGTATTAAGAAATATAAATTAGACTCTTTATCTCACACAGTTCCAGGTAGATAAAAGAATGTTAAAGGCAAAACTATAAATGTTTAGAAGATGTGTAAGTTATTTTTATGAGTTAGATAAGAAAATTTTTTAAAGACAAAAGCAGAAACCACAAAGGAAATGATAAATGTTCATTAAAAGACTTCTTAAAGTGAAAAGACAAAAGAAAATATTTTCAGTGCATATAATGGTTAAAATATTCAGAATATAACTATAATAGCTCACCAGAAAAATAGGTGAAAACTTGAAGGTGCTCAACTTCATTATACTGTAGTAATAAGGGAAATGCAAATTAAGAAAAAAAAAACACAATGAGAAACCATTTCACACCACCAGATTGACTTCTTTTAAAAAATTTGACAATAGGCTGGGCACAGTGGCTCATGCCTATAATCCCAGCACTTTGGGAGGCTGAGGCGGGTGGATCACCTGAGGTCAGGAGTTCGAGATCAGCCTGGCCAACATGGTAAAACCCCATCTCTACTAAAAATATGAAATTAGCTGGATGTGGTGATGGGCACCTGTAATCCCAGCTACTCGAGAGGCTGAGGGAGGAGAATTGCTTGAACCTGGGAGGCAGAAGCTTTAGTGAGCTGAGATTGCGCCACTACCCTCCAGCCTGGGTGAGACAGAGGCAGACTCCATCTCAAAGAAAAAAAAAAAAATTAACAATATCAAGCATTGGTCAGAATATGGGGCAACAGGGACTCATATAGGGGTGTGAATTAGTATAGCTACTATTGAAAAACAACTTGACATGATCTTGTAAAAAATGAAGTTGGGAAGATACACATGCCATATGAACTAGCAGTTCTACTCATAGATGTATACTCCTGAGACTTTTCCTATACTAGAGTATAAGGGGACAATCTACAAAGATGTTCATTGTACTGTTTGTAATAGCAAAAATCCAGGAAACAACACAACGTCTATAGAGAATGGATGAATAAATTGCAGTGTATTCACATAATGGAGTACCATACAATAGTGAAAATGATTCAGCTGCAGCTATACATAACACAGAATAAAAAACATGAAGAAATGAACAGTATATTGTGTACAGAGATAAACTTCAAGGGAATGATAAATATAAAATTCAAAACAGTAGTTATTCAAGGGGAGGGACATACAGGGTTTCGAAGACAGTAATTTTCTCTGGGTGGTGAAAGTCGTGTTTGTGGCATTACTATTCCTCATGCCTTACCAATTTTGTAAATACTCTTTTTATCTGCAAGATTTACTTTTAAAATTTGCAAAAATTAAATCCTATTGGAAATATAAAATATTTAGAACTAATCAATAATGAAAGCATTATATGGCTTGATACAACAAAACTTGTGATTTGCAGCTGAGTGCCTAATATGTATCTGGCACTGTCTCAACCACTGGGGATATAACAATAATCTTGCCTCCCTGGAACTTCCATTTTATCTGTAGAAGACAGACAGGAAAATCTACTTCTGAACTTTACAATGTAGAAGTTAATATGTAACATGGAGGAAAAAAGAATAGGGAATATTTGGGTGTGGGGCAGGAAGGCTTCCTTGAGCACATGGCATTCAGCAAAGACTTGAAGAGGGATTAAAATGTGAGCCATGTAAATATCCAGGAAAAGTGGTTCCAGACAGAGGGGACTGCTAATGCAAAGGCCCTGAAAGGGGTGTGTGCCTAGTGTGTTGAGGAAACACAGCCCAAATGCCTGAAGTAGTGTAAGCAAGGGCAACAGGGACCCTGTCAGGCAATGTAGAGACTTCGGCTTTTACTTTGAATTGAGGTAGGGAGAGACTTAAAACAGGCTGGAGCAGAGGAGGGAAGTAATGTGTCTTTAAAAACAAAAAACAAAAAACAGAATCTCTGCTTCTTGTGTAGAGAGTT